GAGGAGGATGAAGGGGAAAAAGGGTTTGATGAAAATGTGGCTTGGAATAAGAGGGATACACGTATGCATAAATTTTAAATAAAGTTCATCTCTTCTGTTTTATTTAGCCTATGTACATCCTAAATAATTTATTTAACTATTAGGCTAGAGTCAAGTGTTCTCCTAAAGTGCCTATGGGATACGATAATGTCGAGGTTAATGAGGGTTTGAATTCAGCAGTCGTACTCAATATATCTCGCCTTATGACTTAGGGCAATCCAGAAGTAAAATAACTTTAAATAGTTGAAATACTAGACATAAATATTGCAAATGAATACTAAATATTTTGGTGGACAGAATCTGTTTTATTTCTATAGGATTTGTAATTGCATTCCAGGCTCTTTTTTGTGGGGAATCTCCACTTAAAAGCCAAAAGATTAGCAGGTGCCTTTGCCAAAAAGCGGAGTTCTTATGGAATTTATATTGAGATTTTAAGATTTTTATAGGACTTATTTCATTAGCCATTGTCGTAAATTCTTCCGGAAAATTGTAATGATTAAATTATTCTATCCAGTCAGCTAGAAAAGCAAAGATTTCCTTTGCTTATGATACATTTTTCGCAGGAGAGCCACCACAGGCATGGAATCTTGTTTAAACCAGCAAATCTTTACCTTAGAGGACGAACTAGGGTCTTATTTCCGCAAAGTATCATGTTGGGTTTAAATAAATTTAAAGATAATTGTCCATATAGCAATACTCAGCTGGACTTTTATTTATCTTTTTAAGGATATTAATTTGGGTTTCATGCTTTCATTCTACTCCATGCTTTCATTTTAACTTATTAAATTCCATTTTATATTCCGCCATTACTTTTCTTCGGTCTTTTTAATTTTGTTCATAAATTTTAGAATTTCATCATCAAGATAACCCTTGTAAATTTACAACCAAATATTTACGCATTATAGGCCTGAGAATTTTGATGGACCAATTATCACGAATGTCAGAACAATTCTCTAACCAAGTGGACCAATGCTCCATGCTGCTGCCCGCAGCAGAGCGTCTAACAAATCTCCTAGTCGGTGAATTCGAATCAGAAACACACGCTCTTTCGGAGCTTGATGGCTTAAAAGCACGACTAGCCGACGTGGCCCGCCAAATTTGGGCGAATCTTGGAGACCCAGCCATTCAGATACGAGCAAACATAGACTCTCATTCTGGCTTGGAGGATGGTTGTCAAGCCAGTCTGAGCCAAACAGTCGCTTCGGATTCTGTAGCTCCCGTTGCGTCTGCAGTTTTGGTATCAAAGTCGAAGGCAGATGAACTACATCAGTTACCTGTATCTAAAGCTGTAGAGCTGCCATTATTAAATGGAGCCAGCCTGAGCATACCATGCCGTCTAGATGAGCAGATTGTCGGCTTGCAGCGGCTACAGCGAGATCTAGCCAACGAAGCCAGTACTGCAGTCGCCGAAATATCTAGGTATCTGCACTCGAGTCAGACGAGACCCATCAGCAAGCGCTTCCAGGCAAGCATTTATCTGCATCATTTGTTAAAATTGTATATCTCTTATATACAATGGATGTAGTCTATAAGGGAAAGTATGGGTATTTTGATAGGTTAGTTTCGTCACTGGCATCCTAAACGTTATATTACTGGTTTAATATTTAAAAGTACACACTAATTTCAACTGTATTTAATTGTAGTAATATATTTTTTAAACAATGTATTCATCGGTTCAGGGTTAAGCAATGTTCTCAGTTGTTGCTTTTTTATTTTTGAATTAGTTTAGCTGAACACTAATTTTTTTTAATCCTCTGTTTTACTGCAATTTTTACTATTTGAAAACTTTCCTATTGTTTATTTTGACTCCTTTTCTATACATTCAAAATATTACTTAGATTGCCTAATCAGATCTACCGGTCTATATGCATTAGTTTGTAAAAATACCTCTAAGAGCTAGCCGTCTGCGGATTCGTTATTTTTTATTTATACCTTATTATTTAACTTTGTTATGGGATGTATTCTTCCTATTTCGTTTAAGTTGATAACTGGACTGATAATTGTCATAATATGTTTTTTCATTGTGACCCACACGTAATATTATTAATTGAGCTTGCTTGAATTGAAATTTCATTTAAAAAAGATTAACTGGATCTCACTTAATCTCCCTTTATTTTATTGTTGGAAATTGTGTAAGGAAGAAATTCGTTGACCTTGCCTACCAGAATACCACCACCTATTTCCAATGATCTGTTGTAATTTAATTATACTCTGATTTAGCATTAGAAACTCATTATCCCAACCAACAGACTTCCGATATTAAAACGTCCCCTGATTGGAAGAAATTTATTAGACCATAATGACATTTGATGGATACTAAGCTTTTTTATAAGTAATCTGAATATAATTAGTGGTTTCCAACCTATATCCGCAAACACACATTCACACACTGCACTTCGAGGAAACAAAAAAAGAACTTACTAAATCATTCAATATCTTATTTCTTTTTGGGGTAAATATGGCACTTCGAGTTAAGCCGGCTCGGTCTAGATTTGGAGTTCTTTAATAATTATTTGTAGCTCTGAATATTTTCACCACTCTTTCGTCTGAACAAAAGTGGAACGTTTCGGGAAAAGCAATTGCCTTACTTTGTCAAAAATGAAGAGCAGTTAACCAATTACCAAATAAGACTGGTATCTAATGCCTAATATGTACAGTTTACTTGCAAGAATAAGATTGCCTCTCAGTACACAAATCTCCCATATATATGCGTGATCAAATATATCTGCTTCCCCTTGAAAATTGTGCCTTCTTTTAACTAAGATTCGTTAAGGTCTATGTTAATTAAGGGGTGGTATGTTCTCCTTTGAATTTTCCAAATTACATGTTGGACGAAATCTAAAGGGTACTTTTTGTTAGGTTAGGTGGGATGCAGTGCAAGGGCAAATGTCATGGCTATATAAGGTCTTTCACATGAAAGACTGTGTATCCTATTAACAAATATATTTGTGAAAGTTGTATCCAATTTATTACTGACAATATTTTCCATTGGTCCTTAGTTAGATTTGTAAAGATTTATCGAAAATGTTTTATTTTTTTATTTTAGGTTTT